TGCACGGAAGGCCAGGTGTTGCTTTGCTTTACACATTTTCTGACCCGGATTCTAGTTTTCTTAAAAAAACAGTGCTCGCCAACGTGCGCGTTTCGAAGCAGTGTACCTCTACTACCGTAGGCCTTCTGCTTCAAGATGTGCTCACGAAGTATGACAAGAATCTTAGCAATGTTTCAGCGATAGTCTCAGACTCGGCATCATACATGCAGAAAATGACTCACGAACTAAACGCGTCATGCCCTGATTTTGTCGCGGTGCATATAAGAGACATTTGTCATCTTTTGAACGTTGTTTTGACAGAGTCGATGAAGGTACCATCCTTCACTGCTGTGCGAGAATTGGTAATTCGTGTACCAGCAATGAATGCTTAAAGGCTACAGGGAAGTACGCTGCAAATACCACTCTGCCTGCACGTCCCTTGGATGGCCAGTTTGCCAACTTGCCACTGTGGTTCACACGTGCTGGTGCTCTTTTATGAAGCGCTCGGCAATGTTCTTGTCTACTGGAGAGAAATCAAGCAGCTTGTAAACAACACAGCCAAAGGTGGAAAGCTCGAGGAGGTGCGGGCAGCACTCGCTAACCCCGAACACATGGCTGTGCTCTCTGCCAACCGATAATCACAGCCATGAAATCTTTGGAGTCTGAGGAAGTACTAGTCTGCCACGTGTATTCAGTCATGGTTAGTCTGGAGTCCACTCTTGCTAGCCAATGCCTTCCTGAACAGCAAGCGTTTGGTATAAAGACCACCATACTCTTAGACACAATGAGTTTTGACGTCCGAGAAAAATGTGTGCGTGTGCAGCTTCCGTGAACACCCCCTTGAGATTCAGGCAAAGTGGGAAGCCGTTGTGAAGAGGAGCATTCCGGCTAGTTTTCATTTCTTTAAAAATGACTTCTGGCATCTGGTGCAAGTTGTGGACCCAGCCAGGAAGCAGGAACTAATGACAGCAGAAAAAGACTTCAGTGGTCTGTTTTCACCTGTTGTGAGCTCCCCCGACCTACCATCGTTAAAAGAGGAACTTCTAGAATATTCATCGCATAAAGTCCCATCTGTAGAAGTTTGCACTGGCAGCTTCTGGAGAAAGCACGGCAAGGAATGGCTAGTCTTGTCAAAAGCTTCTTTTGATTTTCTTGCCATCCCCGTTTCAAGCGCGAACGTGGAGCATGCGTTTTCTGGACTGCGTTTCCTCAGCCGCGAGGAAAGTGCTCCGATGACTCACAAGTCTCTGACAAAGTACATGTCAATTTTTTTCCATAAGTTTAAGTTTTGATATCATACCTCTGAAAGCGTCACGCTTTCTGTTATTTCCATATGTATGCGCATTGTGTGACATGTTTGGTGTGTGTACAATAAACGCGTGTAATGTGAGGTGTGCCGTGGTTTTTTTAGCAATTATGTAGTCGCTTTGCAACACAAGCCTCGATAATCACTGATTTCTTTCCAGCATTGAAATTAAACACCGAAAAACACTGATTCAAAGAGAAAAAATAAACACCGATAAATAACCCCCGAATATGAAGGAAAATAGATACCGAAAACACGCAACCCTAGTTATAATGAGCTTAGACCGTAGAATCTGACGGACAAGACACATCCGGCGGCAATGCCCCGAGCTCTCGAGTGCCATCTCGGCAAGCGTCTCACTTAATATTTTAATCCACAAAAGAAAAGCAAGCTGGATATCCCTCTATCTTTCCTGCACGTAACAAACGTAAGCGCATACATTATATGTACCGTATTTACTTGCATAATAAATGCGCTCACATAATGAATGCACCCCCCACAATGGGCATGAATATTTGGACTTTTTTTGCCCTCCCGTAATCAACGCACCTCCCATTTTCGGATCCGCGAGTCTCGAATTGCATCCAATTTAGCAAGCCACCAAGCCAGTTTTCTTTTGCCACCAAGCAGCCAGGCCACGTCAAGCCAAGCCAAGTCGCTCTCTAATGGCCGGAAGTACGTAGCTGCGGAAGTGATCAACTGTGAAACTGAGTGTCGAGCACTCTTGACGAAGGTTGGGGTTGAGGAATTGTTGAGCCCCGGACATTCTTCGCCTATCGAATGCATTGATGTCAACAAACAAGCCGTTGTCTGTGGTCCGCTTTCGGACAGTGAAATCGTGAAAGTATGTAGGCCTAATTTCAGATACTCCGAGTAAATGCGTTTATTTAATCCCTAACAGGATGGCACGGCCAGGTGCATGCTGCATTGTAGGCTGAGACTGTCTGGTAGCCTCTCCGTGAACGAAACTTGATCTGTGCGAGCGGGCTTCGGCGGTCGGCTGTTGGACTTCGTACAAGTTCTTATACATTCTTATACGCGTAGTCGCAGATGTGCCTGAGCGTGTCGCCGGATACCAGCAATAATATTGCCTAAGAATGATCGCGTTGCTTTTTGTGCTGAGTGAGCCTCGTAGGGCACTTTTCCTTTGGCAAAGGGCACCCTGAAAGTGCCCTGAAAAAGTTTGCAATTTATAAAGCATGGTTATTGTGCCGTGCCCCCGACCAGCCGTGGGTGCACCTCCATCACTGGAGACGTGCCACAGTACCTTGCCGTCTCATATTGGCATCTAATATGACATTTGCACGAAGTGTGTAAATGCAAAAAATTTTACCCTGTGTAATGGATGCCGCCCCCCGCCACCGCCCCGCCCCCACCCTTGCCCCCCCCAAATATGTGTAAATTTTTCAGGAAAAAAGTGTGTTCATCATACGAGTAAATACTGTAATGCAGAGTTCAGAACGATCTTCATGCCTCCACACCTTTGTTACTACGCGAGCGCATCTCCAAATGGTTGCAAAGTCTCGCATTGCCCCTGGCAACTTGCTTTGCACCTGCCTAAGACATGTCCTTGACCGGAGCGTTTGCCACCCTGTACTGCCCGTGCATCCAAACTGGCAACAAATTACACCACAGGAGCCAAGTGTCGGATGTCACTTTCCTGGCTGTTGGCACTAGGAACGCCGGCAAAAGCGGCAAACGAGCGCGAGTGTTGCCGACGCCTTGGCGCACAAATTCATGGTTGCTTTAGCTTCCACAAATTGACTGGCTGCAGGACAAGCTGCAGCTGAGCAGACGTCTGCCACATAGACCTCCGACACGATGTGCCACCACCAGGATCGCAGAAGACGTCATCAGGAGGGAATCGAGAGACCATGAATGAGGACGGTTTACTATCGCGGACAATTCACCATTTTAGAAACAACTTGCACCATCTAGCAGAAGACAACATTCCAGAATTTTGAGGAAAAAATTTAGCAGGAAGAAGGAAGCATTTTAGAACGAGCGAGGGGTGGGGGGTGGGGTGAGGGCAAAAAGATGTTACCAAATACGATATAGCTTTGCCAATACTGGAAACTCCTCCGAAAAGCTATGGGAACAGCAGCGAACATGACAGTGGCGCCTCTGGTGGACTCGAATTCTACAGAAGCAGACGACGCAATAGAAAAAAATAGGCTCCCTGACGTCCTCGAGCTTTGCGAGTCCCATTTCGTCACCCCAACAGCAGAAAAATTTCATTACGGTAGCTCACCTATTCGATGAAACGGTTTTAAGCAATACATTCATGAGATATTGGAATTGTAGAACAAAACGAATTGATCAATATGAACAGTAAAATTGAAACATATATATGTTCTAATTTTTTTTTTTATATTGCCCTTTTTTAAGAAACAGGGCAAAGCTATATTCATGTTTTGCCTGGCTTACGTAAGTTCTGACAGTGTTTTCTTCAGGAGAGCCCAAAAATTGCACTTTACAAACTGTAACATCTTTCTCAAGCGAAGGAAATATCCTTGAGTCATGAAATAGAACCCATATTTTAACATTCAACGCCGCGAATACCTGTGACAATTTTTTCCATTGGTCACCTCGCACGGAGATAGGCAAAACCAATGCGTTGTAGAGAATTCTGCTAGCGGAGACATTGAGCTCGCCAGGGGCGCTGCAATCACTTTTCGCCCGCGATCCGCGGGAGTTGCCAGTATTGGCTTACATAGTATTTGATGTTACAATAGGAACAAAAGAGACTTTGGGGGAGCCAAGTCACTGCAGATCCATAGAGTTAGCAGAATCGTGCTTCCTTGGTCGAGGGAGCACCCGTGCTCACTCACCATGTGCTCACTTGTTAAGGCGAAAGCTTTATATGTCTCATCGTTCACTCGACCTTCGAAGTTCTTGAGCGAAAACATGTCGGCAACACAAAAGGTACCAAAACATTTACGTGACTGCTCAGGCCAATTAGAGGCAATGAAATTAACAAAGATGACAAAGCGAATTAAGAGATAATCACAGTGAATTAAGAGGAATTAAAGAGAAGTAAGAGCGATCAATGGGAATTAACGACTATAAAGCAAATTAAGAGGAATCAAATGAATGAAGATGAATTAAAGGGGATGAAGAGAAATTAAAGTGAATTAAGTAGATGACAAGTGAATTAAGATGATGACTCAGCACACTGGGAAGGATGACTGAGCACATTAAGAAGGATGACTCAGCAAATTAAGCTGGCTAATTTAAGTGGCTATGGGAAAAAATATGAAACAAAGTAAATCATGTGTCTGCCTTTAATGCTTCGGCGCCTGGGCTTTTGCCTTCAAGTCGTCTTAGGGATAACATAAAAGACCCTGTGAATTTTTTCGTATCAGGACGTCCCGAACCGGCAATTTCATAAAACGGTCCATACGAGCTGAAACAGTCCTTCGTGCTTCTTTGGCCTATTTGCCAGTTTTTGGGGAAGCTGTGGTCTGAACTACAAACAGAATGCAAAGTTGGGGTCTCACTCTTTAAACTGCTCGACAAATCGAAAGATAACAGAGCTTGTGAGGACCGCAGACGCAACAAAAAGCCAGATTAGGTGTTTCGCCTCATAAAGTCGTGCAGAATGCCATTCCTAACACTCGCTGCGGTTCACTCTACTCGACTGAGTTCCGTCTCGATCTCGTCTCTCGGGCACCGAGAATGGACGACCAGAAATTGGCCGCGAAATTACTCTTACCAGGGAGCTCTTGCCCTCCTCCGGGTTGGGAAACCGGACGGTGGGGAAGTCTGGATCTGGATCCATCTGCTCCTTGACGGGAACAAACTTCTTGAAGCCGCACGTCTCGAAGGCCTGCACCATGTATGGGTGCGACACTCCGTGCATGGACGTGAACGTAAACGTCACGCCGCACCTCTCGTTCAGAGACCTGATGGGGCAGGACGCAAAAGACCATCACAATCTGTTTCCAGGGCAGAAACTGTACACTCGTGACAAGCAGTTTCATGAAGGCCGGCTCGTGCATTTTCATTTCAGTGCGACGGAGTGTGGTGTACTAGATTGTAACCAGGGTTACCTCTTAGCCCTTTCATGGTCACCGATGTACCTGTACGTCAGCGCGGGAGCATCCCGCATGGTTGCTGACGTACATGTACGTCCAGGACTTATCATTAAAAAATTCTCGCCTCTGCTTGAATGGGCGGGATCGCTGGGACGTGCTGCCTTCTGGTAGGTTTCTAGGGAACTATGACCAAATAACCCCGGCTGCATTTGTTTTGGCGCGGCCTTTTGAAATTGCAAAACTGGGTGCTCAGTGATACTTTCGAGATGGCTGGGCGTGTCAGCTGCTCTGGAGGTAGTGTAGCGAAGTATGGAGCGATGGCTCTTCGGGTTCAGACTTTAAACCCTTCTCTGACTCTGAGTCGGATAACAGCTCGATATCTGACCAACAACTGGAAACCAGCTCGGAGTCGGAGTCTGGAGTCCGACACACAGTTGCACAGTCTGCTAGACCGTCTCAGAAGCAAGCGCCTCGAAGTTTTAGTCCTTTTTGTTTTGTTCAGCCTCCAGTGAGCGTGCCGCAGATGTATTGAAGCGTGTGTACTACTTACTTTAAGTCTTAGATTTTTTTATTACGCGACAATAAACTAATATATTTTCTTTGCTATCGCACCGAGCAAAAAATCTTGACCACGGAGGTGCGTTTTTGGACAAAAAAAGCGACCATGAAAGGGTTAGATGGCGCCAGTGGGACAGTGTGCTCTCTTATTGTAGGCGGTTATGAGCGGGCATTATGCACTTGGTGACATCTCAAACGCTAATGTGCAAATCAGCCTTAAAGGGGTTATGACACGCCAAAAATAAAATACGAGATAACTATACTGCTAGGACCCATTGTATGTTCCTATAATCCTGCTAAATTTGTTTTGAAAATGGCGCGATAGTTTTGTGGATAAATCGATTTATATGCGGGTCCCTCGAACCCGCCCCATTTGGAAAGGCCGCCGTGGCTAAGAGGCTAGTGACGTAGCCAGCCTCCTGCGCGGCGCCCCCTTGCACGCACTCACAGACTTGGCTCTCTTGGAGTCTCGAGCTTCAGCTTCCTCATTTACCTTCCACGTTTCAAGCATGCAGTCCGTTACGATTACGTCTACGGCATCGCTTGCCTTGTCAAAGTGTTTGACATTGATCACAGCAGCAATGAGAGTGATTGCTATCAAGAGATGTTGGAAGCTGTTCATTTTGACTGCGACCCGCTGGCGACCAGCTCCAGCGACGGCGAGATACGGACAAACTTGCCGTGGTCATTGTCGTCCGGGAATATCCCGCAGGCGCATGCTAGGGGGAAAATCAACAGGCGGGGGCGAGAGCGAGAATAGCGTTCGGGTTACCGAGTTGCGTGAGCAGTTTTGATCATACCGCGGCGAACAGAGCTTGGGCGATCATGGGGGCGCCTAGAATGAGAGAGCGTTCATGATCACATGATTTATGGACACCATGGTGTGACTAACTTAAGCAGTGTTGCCTGGTAGCCAGATGAAAATGATAAAAATTCGTAAATTGATTATTGCAATTACCAGAGCTCTAAAAATCGCGTAACTTGGTGTATATACTAAGTAGCCTATGAGCATTCCATTTCAAGAATAATCTATTCATTTAAGTTTCGTGTCATAACCCCAAAAACCAGAAAATGTTAGCTAAAATTTATGTGAAACCGGCTTATACTTACACATTTAACCGGTATTTACTTTCTTTATAGGGGAGCTGCAATCAGTGTTTATATTCTGTTATCAGTGGTCATGATAAGCATCTCTCATGGTGCCCATTGCTCGATGACCGGAGCATAGGCTTCTTCGTCTTTGTCCAGTTGCACCGTTTTTACCTCGAGTTCTTGGAACAAAAAAGCATACACTTTTTTGTTCTTGAAGCATAGCAGCCCCAGTTAGACCAAGGTGCAACGTAGTGAAAAGCAAGCAACTACCATAGAATCAGAAACACCAGAAACATTCCATTTTTTTGTACTCATAAATTCATTCTGCATGTAACTTCATGAAATATAACTTTTTTTTTTCTTGGATTTTGGCATGCTTTCGGAAATCAGTTCCCCCCAAAACTTGGAAGCAGACCAGAAATGATTGCAGGGTCAATTAAACCTATCACCTTATTAAAGGGATACTACAACGAAATTTCGGCGCTCATTTTTTGGTCTATATGTGTTCAAAAAAGCAGCATCACATCAAACATACCGATATCTTTTTAAAAAAGTCACGAAAAAGAATTTTAAAACAAATTAAACGATTAGCAAAGAGCACCTGGTGGATGTCGCTAACACCTCGCTTGTAATGCCCGTCTAGGAACCTTGACAGCTAGTGACGGAGGTTGTCTCGTCTCCGGCCACGCGAGAGAAGAGGGGAACGAGGAACTCCCCTCTTCCCGAGAATGCCTTTTGTGTGTCGCAGAAGTCGCTATTGTCCCCCTACAAGATTATAGAAGATTAACCCGTCACTCAAAATTCGTACAAAAGCAGCCGCTTCGGTGGCTGGAACGACTAAGCCATCCTCTCGACGTCAGCCTCGCCGTAGCTTTGCTCGTCTTGAGACGACCTACGTCACGATTGCGTTGGATGTCACGTGGTCTCCGCTGGGCCTTCTCCGAGCGCTTGCCAGAGTGGGCCGTTTATAACGAAAAATACAGCCACCAGGCTCAAAATACAAACGTGCGATTGTCATTTACGGATATTGTGGATCATATTCAACCTATTTTTGAACACGACGGGAATATTTCAAATTTCGTTAAAGTATCCCTTTAAGGGGGGACACTACCTGGGCATGTCTACTTTTGAACTGCTCACTCAAACGGTGGGAAATTTGCAGGTGATGTTTGTAGCCATATAGAAGGAGGGCATGCAAAGTTTCAGCCCTGTGAACCAATTTTATGGGGTACTATACCCCCAGAATGTAGCTTTGTATGGAATCTGCTCAATGAATCTATCGTTGAGAAATGGTGTTGATCACCACGTATTTTTCAGGTGGAGTGCATACTGGAATACTTGTTGCCAGTTACTATAAAAAGAATTTTTTTAAAAATCTGCACTTTTCAAATAAAAAAAATTTATGAGTTTTTTTTTTTTGTTTCTTTTTTTACATTTGCCAAGTTTTGCAAATTACCATTTTTTATAAAAAAGGAACATGAAAATGCAAAATCTAAGCTCATAGTGACCGGCTCTATAAAATTTCGGCATATATTCCGCAAACATTAAGTCTCTCGGTAGTTTCGTACTGAAACGATAGTTTTATTAAGGTGGGATTTGCTGCCAAAAAGTGAAGCTGAGATAAATGCACTTGAAGTTTCAAGATGACGTTTTAAAAAGAACTTTTTGCGTCTTAAATCTCAGAAATTCTTTTCAGCAGTGTAGGTGATGTCTTCCTCAACTTTTTCTGATATACTGACATTGCTTTCAGCTATTTTCACTTGTGGATGACGAGTGCTATGCAGTGCAGCGCACCTCACCAACATAAAAAAGAAAAATTATTTTTAACATTGTTTGTCATTGCACATTGACAAGACTTTGTGAGTGTTCCTTGTTATCCATACATGCCAAAACTCTGAAGTTCTGGATATACATTTTTTGGAAAAAAGGTGCAATTCAAGGTAGTGTCCCCCCTTAAAAAAAAAAAAAAAAAAGCCACGGCGCAATCATTAGACGATCGAATTGGAGCCACATATTTTGAGGGGGGACGCTGGCTAGAGATTTCACTTGTGAACTACTCCAGTGATTGGAATGAAATTCGCAGGGGAAATTTGACATAAGAAGTAGGTCTATTGTGCAAACTTTCAACTCTCTAGGACAATCTTACATACCTACATAAGAAGATGCGTCACTCTTTGTTAAGAAATCTATGATATGAAAATGAACCTATTAAGCACCCTTTTCAGTGCTTGAATACAAAGTAGGGGATGTGGGACTTTGGGCTATCTAGATTTTTTTAAACTCAAATGTAAACTTTTCAGGAAGTATCATTACCTACAAATATCAGATGCATATCTGTCCTATATAAATTTTTGAAAACATAGATTTTTCTTAATGAGGACTTTAACTTAAAACAAAATAAGGTAGTGGATAGCCGAATTCCCCAGTAAAGTTCAATTCAGAAACACCTTCATTGTGGTATCAGAATACTTTTATCTTCGAAAAAAAGATTCCTTCTTATGAAATATGTAGCAAAAAGTGGAACTGAGAAAAATGCATTCAAACAGTGAATTGAAAATAGGGTGAGTAGGCAGGCGAGCTGGTTGACGTTACACATTTTTGAAAAACCGGAGAGGGGGGGGGGGGGGAGGGGACGGAGTAAAAGGTGGACAACACACAAAACGTCTCAAATTGAGACGTTTTGATTTGAACTCCTTTACTTTGTTGGCGCCTCACAATGTGTTGCAAATATTTTATATCAACGTAACTATTTGGTGTATCGTTATCAAATTTAGTGTAAGGGTATGTAATTAATTTCTAAAACCAAAAAACTCAAATTTAAAAAATGAATATTAAGTTTTGAAATTTAGGCTTATGTCTCCCCTTAAATCGAAACGCGAGTAAAAATGTGCTCATAGTGTAAAAGCCAAATTTGTCATTACGTCATTTATTTTTGGGTAATTAAACACACTTATACAGTATAGACCACTTACAACGTAACCGCTTATAGTGCAGCACCGGGTATAACGCAGCTTTTTTAAACCACCGGTTCGCCTCCCATAGAACTCCATGTAATTACATACCGCTTAAAATGCAGGCGCGTGAAGGGAAATACCGGTTATAGTGCGCTTTCTCGAACAACCCGCCGACCGCGCCGATACTAGATAACAGCGCTAGCCGCGAGCGGCACTCGTGGGGCAAGGAGGTTGCTCGAAAAAGCGGAGAGAAGCGAAGAGGGAGGGTGGGAGGCTTCATTTGCCATAGCGACCGATAGCGACGGAGGGATGCCCGCACGTGTCGTTCACGTGCGTGCGTGCGTGCGTCCCTCCGGTGTGTTGGAAACAACCGCAACGACAGACCAATCGCAGGTCGAGGAGAAGAGTTTGCGCGCGTTGCATGACGGTCGCGGGCCGGCTTCTATCCGCGAACATGGCGTCTGTTGTGATTGTCGTCGTAGACGGCATGGTGGAAGTTCATCGTTCTGCGTAAAAGCGCTATCCTTGACTGTGAATTTTCGTTGTGTGTCGCTATGATAACCCAGCACGTACTAGAAGGGAAGATCCACCTACTCGTGCGACGATGTTGTGGCGGCAGTCTCAAGACGGCAGAAACGGCCGTGTCGTCATGTTTGTTTACTTCGACTACAGTGGTGCTTTCTAAACATTTGCGTTTTCGACCATCGCCCGGATTTCTTATTTGCAGCATTTCGTGCCTGTGCTCAAGTTGAAGGTATTGCTGGCGCGTACCGTATAAAGGATGCGAATTTTCACGCGTTTTCATCGCCGGAGAAAAGTGATTAAGGTTAGCATTCCCGAACGCTCGCAACGTCCGTCCTCAGCCCGCGACGTCGTTAAAAGGGTGCACCAGGCAAAAGTCGCTCATTTCTTTCAAAATGTGTGACACACTTGAGAGAGAAGTGTACTAGTCTTGTGAAATAAAGACTTTCCTCAAACTAAGCTTTATTTTTCATCTAACATAGAAATAAATTCTTTTACAAAGGTAAGTTGTCTGATGGCATGTATTTTGGCCAGAAAAATTGATGTTTTGGTTATAGCGCGGTACCGCTTATAGTGCAGATTTTCGCGACTCCCGCAACATACGTTATATGCGGTCTACACTGTACTTTTCTTCGAACAAAAAAGGAACAACCTGGAAACGCTCTACTCGACATCAGCTATTTTGTATCAAGACGTTAATAAGACTAGCATAGCTTCAATGCTGCCACAGCCTCCCATTGGCGCTAGAGCACGTGGCGTCGTCTTACACCTCAATCAAGCATGCCCTCGTGCAAGTGGCTTAAACGAGGTTGGACCATTGCGGAAGCTACGCTAGCCTTGACAATGTAGAACTATGGGGCTTGGAAGGTGTCTCTGACTGGTGCGCCTACCGCGTCCAAAAAAGTGGTCCCTCGATGTCCGCCAGACGACGTCCTAGAATTGTCACACAGTCACTGACTGAGACCCCGGCAGTGTCAAGGTGGAGCGACTCCTGAGGAGCGACTTCTGAGCGGTAATGGGAGTAGATTCACCTCGACGGCAGTGACGCTCGCGTTTGCTCTTGCCTTTTGTCTGAACTTATGGCACCAACTGCTGGGACTGCGACGTGCAACGCCGCGACGTTCCGACGTTAGCGATGTCGTCTGTTGCCGCTTAGGGACCGCTTTCGACGCACGGGCTGGATAGGATGTCAAGCGCACCGGCCAGAGGCGGATTCCAGTCGCCGTAGCGGCACGAGACGATCGACGCGGAGCATGGTACCTCGAAAACCCAATTAGTATGCCTCGTTATTTGAGCGGAAAAAATTAACAAATTAAAATTAAACTAAAAAATTAAAAATCAAGACGGGGTTGACGCTTGCCGTCTCACGACTCACTTGTCGGAAACTTGAGAGGCCAGCTGCTCAAAGTACTTCTTGTTGATTTCCGGGAGTGGATCCTTGCATAGGGGACTCCTGGATGTCATCTCGACATCCCAGGCTTCGCTCCAGGGTTCCAGGTTCTTCTGGATGCTCTCCTGAATGCCGGCGTCGTGCGGCGGAATGATCTGAAGAGCGAGAATAAGCGCAGCGTTGTCACCCATTTTCACACCCTCTTTTTGGCATTTCGGCTAGCTGTCGGCATTTAGGAAAATGCCGAACTATCAAAAAACATTCATTTTAGTTGCCTCAATAGAAAACAAATGCTAAAAAATAAACCTTTCGTGAAAAAAAAGTTTTAGTTTGGAGCAATACATGGCCTGCACAGGCGTCGCATCGGCATTTATTGTGAAAGACCTCGCCACTACGTGCATAACCTTTTGCAGCATACATTTCACACAGACGAGTCCGTTTTTCTTGGCATGAATGAGCAGGAATGGTCATTGGCACGGCGCAATGACGTCGTGTGTGAGCCATTTTTTCTGTAACATGCTTCCGTTTCGAGACGCCGACACCGAAATTAGGCACATCTTGGAATCACTCATCACTAAAAATTTGTCTAGAACCACAAATATTGCACTAAATATTTTTTCACTCATCACTCAATCATCACTCATCACTAAAACGTGTTCTATCCACCAGACATTTAACAAAAAAAGGTTTATGGGAGTTTAGTGTCTCTTTCAAGGGTTAGAACAGTTTAGAATGGGGGACGTGCAATGCGTAGAGGTTGTCCCATTACGCGTTACAAGAAAGGTGCTGAAACACGACTGAAGTAACAATCAAAATTACAAAAATCTACACTCCGTTTTACTCCGAGTTCGACCGCAGCCAACTCCATGATTTGACAGAGCCAATCAGGCAGCACCAAAACTGCATCATCACGGAGCAGTCGAACTTTGCGCAATACGAAAATTAATTAATAGTCAGCTTGCGTCGGTAGACACCTCAGCAGTCGTGGAGAGGGAACACGGTGTGTTTGCCCAACACAAAGCGATCAAAGAGACGTCACTCTTACGAACGTGCATAGTTTCAATGGGCTCTCAAACAAGAGCATAGCGTAATTTCAATCGAGGCTACGGTTCGGCGTAACAGCAACGATCTGTGAAAAGTTTCTCACCTGAACCCCGTTTGCCCAGTAGACCTGAAACAAGTTGAACAATCGGTTAGTTGGAAGAGTCGTGCCAATCCGGCGAGCTAAACCGGCAACAAAGCTCGGACTGCAAGCTCAGCAAAGCGTGCCAAGTGAACCACATTACAAGTAGGGTTGTTCAGCGTTTTCACTGTATGGCAATGAATCCCCAAAAATATCCCTCAAGCCGGTGTGAGCGAAATCGGGAAAAACTGGAAAGATTCCGAATTGAAGCTGTTCTTGAATAAGAGAAGCCCGAGGTTCGCAGGAAAAAAACTTTATCTCCATGCTTATTTTGTGTTGGTGCGGAACACAGCCCCCAATGAACTGTCTGGAAGATCTTTCTTCAAAAACCGCATCTTTTATCTTTTGTCCTTCTGTCATTGGTAATGGATACTATTTCCTAGTGTTGGGGTGCAGTTCCCCGGTGGTTGGGGCATCCCGTACCCAAATTGCCAAATTGTTTGTCCGACACCTCGTATTGACATAGAAGAACATGAAGTCTGCGGGAAACAGGGAGCCCCCAAAAAATATCCCCTAAATCGAAGAAAGACAAGCACCGAGAGCGTAGAAGCCCAGCTATGAGCACCTTATAGCCATTGTCATCCTTGGGGTTGTGGGAGGCTGTGACCATGATCCCCCCCGAACAGCCCAGCTGATGGATGGCAAAAGGCACGAAGGGGGTTGGAGTGATCTTGCTGAACAGGTAGACTGGGATCTTCAGCTGCAAGAAGGCCACTGCTACGAGTCTGGCAAACCTGGACGTAAAAAGATTCATGACCACTCCTTCAGTATTCACAAACTGGACTGAGCTGCTCACAACTGGCCCTCAAGGTATCAAATACTATTTCTTTATTTAAAGAGAGAACTGGTTCACTTTCTTTGTGACCAGAGGCATAGTTAAGTCTAATAAAAAAACAGATAAAGCAGCAAACTTCGTCAAGCAATGTGTGTCTCAGGAGATGATATCAAGTTATTGGCACTGTGACATTGGTGCTTCACTGCAGAAACCTGGAGATTTCTCATTAATGTTTATTTCGGTATAAGATCTGCTAATGACATTTGGTATTCATTTATATGGAGAAAAAATCTTCATTTCTAGGCCTTTCCAAATGATACATAAATTGGTGACACCGCTCAAAAGAACCTTCCAGCGATGAGCAGACTTTTAGCACGTATCACACAAGAACAAACTTGGGGCATGCTTGATAGCAGTAATAAATCCCAATCTTAAAATTGGTAAAACTAATTCACTGGACGATAAAGACGATTAAATTACCTTGAATAAGAGAGAGTTATTATTCTTAATTGCCAAGTAGAAAGCATTGAGGAATCTAAGTTGTTTTTTTCCAGTTAAAACCAGTCTTCAGCATTCTGTAAGGTCCCACATGAACGCCCGTCACCGAGAGGTCACCCATCCCATTTTTCGGGCTTAATATCCATAACATAAAAATTCAGAAACATTGCCCAACCCCAATTCCTGCTGGACACCGATCACATGATGTCCGATGGGAATCACATCAACCGCGTGAGGTCTGCACTATCAGTACGTGTGACAAACGTTTTGGCCGCAGATTTCCTTGTGTTTATCACACCGTGACATGCAAATCTGCTACGTCCACAATCTGCAGTATCCATTCCATTGATATGTAAATTCGTAGCTCGTTCCGCGATATACACGCGTGATATGGGTTTCCATGATTCGAGAGTTTGTAACAGTTTCCCGTGTTTATCGCACGTGAAATGCGAATCTAGTGCACCCGCAATTTTCGGCATCTGTTCCCATAAAATGCGAGTTTGTAGCGGGTTCTTGCGTGTTTATCACACTGTCAAGTGTGAATGTGCTGCAGACGTGTTCTGTGGTGTCTGTTCCCATGACAGGCGAGTTTGTAGCGAATTCCCGCATGCTTATCGCACTGTGGAACACGAATTAGCCGTACGCGAAATCTGTGGTACCAGTTTCCGTTTCACACAGTACTTTGTAGTAGCCCCCGCCCCCCATGCTTAGTATCACCAATTTTTTATAACATTTTTGCTGTCACGTGCCCAAACATCGCCCACCTCATATTTTTCCCTATTTATCTTTTTTGGGTGGGGGCTCTTTTGGAACTTTAACGGTATATGCATTTTATTTATTTATTTATTTATTTCTGCCTTGGGTCATAGTACTTATTTGGCTTATCAATGACATGCTGCAAGAGTGCTAAATGCCTTTACTCTGCCAGTTATGCCATCCAGATGATGTAATGATCAGCTGGAATGCAGCAAGTAAGCTTGGTTCTTCGTTGCAAATCCAGCAAAAGGCAAGAAGTGTTGATGGTGATAATAGCATGCGATTACACACAGCTTGGGAACATGCCAGCACATGCATAGGAGGGTGTGCTCCTATAGGCATTTTCACAGGCTTCATATTTTGCAAATTTTGCAAAAGTGCAGGTTTTGGGAATATTATGCGAACACTAAAGTTTGTAATTTTGAGTGTTATGTGACATATTTGTCACCCTGGGTGATGCATTTGTGACTAAATTTTTTGCAAAATTTTTTAGATTGCAAAAATTAGGTTTTTGTGAAAATGAAGTCATTTACAATATTTGGAACATACCGTGTGAGAAACCCATTAAAAGCAGATGGCATACTGTTTCCCATAAAGAATGTAATGACAAACCGACGAGCTGTGTCAAGTTTACCTACACTTGCATGGCTCGTCATTGCAAATGTTCTGTTCTCACTTTTATATTTTGCTTGGGCATGTGATGACCACTGAAATAACCTTTTCAAGAGGGGGTTTTGCAGTATATTATTCACATATGCAATCCAGAAAGTGTTTTTTTTTTTTTTTTTTTTGCTTAAGCTTAGTAAAGTTTTACAGTTAGAAGATTGCTAAATGTTTGGTGAAAAAAGGAGCAGAATTTTGTTTGAGTACTGCGTAGTACGACTTCACAATGCAAACAACCAACCTATGACTATTGTAGCGGCCGTCATAACTGATGACCACTCCCTTCTTCGTGCAGTCTGGAAGAGTGCTGAGAAGATACTTGGCCAACCCCTGGGAGGTCTGGATGATGACCAGATCATTCATGGCAGCGTAACCGGGGCCCATCACTCCTCGGAGACCTGAAACCGGAATTTAGAAGCAATACCTGTGGTCACGGACAAGAGGCCTACAACCAGCTTAAAACTAACTCCACCTACTATAAACGTGTTCTGTTATAGACATCAAAAAGCGAACAGGCATTTGTGTGCAACGAACTTTGGAAACAAAGTGTTCACTGCTTCTGTATACAATTTTCTTACAGTGGTAGTTTCCCAGCAGGCTTTATTTAAACAGTACATAGAGAATTATAGTAATTTGACGATATTCAGCAAATGATTACCGTAAAATACCGGGCAAGCGCCCACTCAAAATTTAGATAATTGCGAAAAAATGTGGGATGGGCGCTTGTCCGGTCATCAATTTTACATATAAATGTACTGTGCATATTTTTTCATATCTTAGAAATTTGGATATGGGCGCTTAATGGGGAATGGGCGGATGCGCGGTACTCTACAGTAGGTAAGCAAACCGACATCACAAACTTTTAGCTCCAGGTTGAAACATAACAATTTCGTTAGCTTCCCTGAATTTTAGAGAAGGATAAAATGGTACAATAGTGATAAGTGATTTATTTGCACAGAAAACGAGTGTGAATCCAGCAGAGTACCAGGCAACGCAGAGAGGTTAAAAACCCTTACACGAAATGTGCCTGCTTGCCCACTGCCGTATAGGTAAAGTAAACAAGGCGAAAGCACAAAATTATTGAACATGATGGTGGTAGTTGATGGCGATCACAGATGCTGACGACAAATGGTGATGACTGATGGTGATGGATGATAAGTGAAAGAGTCAATCAAGGCAAACCCAAAGACCTGGCAAAGATTCCGCAAAGATACTGGAACTCTTCTCGTGATTCGGGTAGGGGACTACAATCAGCCAGTGGGATGGAGAGAAGGTCCCTAGTTGCTGTCGGCAGCAGGGAGTTGCTGTGGTGGACTGTCCTGCCCCAAAGAGGCTAGGGCTGAACCGTCCTTCTGCTGACATGCACGGCGGTGGAAAGGCGGGATCCGGAAAGCGACCCATCGAGCAGACGGCACGGTACACAAACACCGTCAATCCTTGCCCCTGCTCAAGAGGACACTAGCCGAGAGCTCTTTGTCGTCCAGGGTGGGACCCAGCTGTTCTACCTAAGGTCCGACCGCACATAGTATGCAATGCATGGCGCTGAACACTCTCTAGCCGTTCAATAGGTGTTGTTGAGGAGGAGACCAAACTGCGCAGCAGTATCCTGTACCAACAAAGGCAGAACTAGGGCTGTGTAAAGTGTCTGCAGCGCTGCAAGTCCAATAGGTCTCGTTACGCAAGAGATGAAGCCAAGTGTTCTCCGTGCCTTCGCAACAACGTTGGCAATATGTATAAAGAAGTCTAGATTTCGTGAAAATGCGACACCCAAGATGGACAGGTGGACTGGGGCAACCAGCGTAGTGCCACCTATAATGTAAACAGGACTGTTGTACTTTTTGCTGATTGAGAAGCGCATCACGCTACTCTTGGACAAACTTATGCAAAGATGTTGGGGATCATCATCCAAGTCTCAATCTCTTCAGGGTAGTGCTGAAGATGATGTACGTCAGATAGGGATGAGACTGAGGCTAGAATCAATGTGTCATCTGCATACAGCACAAGAAAGCACCTGTCACTCCGTGGCATGTCGTTCACATAAAGCAGAAACCGTGCCAGACCAAGGACCGAACCTTGTGGCACTCCAGACAAGATGGCCATTTTTGGAGACCTTGCACCATTATACACAGCTTGCTGGCTGCGGTGTTGAAGGAAACCTGACAGCCAAGCAAATAAGCAACCCCACATATTCGCATGGGTCATCCTTTCAAGCAGAAGGTTTATGTTGAGGGAATCAAACGTATTGCTTAGGTTCAGCTGGACTAAATCCGTTCTGGTTCGGTTATTCCTATTTTCGCTGATGAAATCAATAAATGTTGCCAGTGCTGATTTACACCTGTGTCCACTTCGGAATCCGTATTCACTTTCCGGGAGGTAGCCGAACTCTTCCAGATGGTTGCGAAAATGGCAGTTCACTACCCGCTCGAATGTTCGGCAAACAAGAAGGGTTGATTGACACAGAACCTAACTGCTCTGGGTCATCCATTGGCTTCCCCTTTCCCCTGTGCAGCAGAGTGATTAAAGCTCGTCACCTTGTTTCTGGGACAATGCCGTTGTCAAACAGCCCCTACATCACCTTCGAGGAAGTCAGCAGCATATGCGAACTACACTTTTTGACACCCTAATTCAGATCAACACACCACGCACCAGAACTATAATACTGAAAATAATGGCCAGGTCGTCATAGAAACAAAGAAGGGGGAGAGAAGACACGCTACCAATCTGTAAAACCTCATCTCACTATAAACGCCACGACCCGATTTAAGGTGGCCCAAACATCTACAGTTCTTTGAAAAGTATGACCACATGTTCTCACCAGCAGTTCCGAAGGTGAGTCGGTCCAGAAGCAAGTGCTGTAACTGGTCAACATCCCCGGTCTTGTGCAAGTTCTCGATCTGCTTCCTCGTCTTTTCGTTCTGCAAGAAAAGAAAAAATTACCTTGCCGTTTAGCTTTTCCGAAGATTAAAGGAACTCTGCTACATCTTCAGCTTAACAGCCAAACACATATGCTGCCTCTTGACCATGCACGCACTGCATAGTACGAAGAAGCGTGCAACAAGCTGGAGTCTAACACGTATACTTTTTAGCCCGTATAAAGCCTTGTATACCCCGTTTCACCTTACGATAAGACCACAGAGGATGCTACCAATGCAGCGTGAGTGCCACGTGACCTTCGGAAAGGGCATGGCGACGCGCGGATTAGTCACTTGGTACGTTCACGGTGCTGCACCGGCTGGGACGGCTCTTCACATCCACTGCAGTCCATCGTATGGTAAAACGAAGTATTAAAACCATTCTTTATTTTCTTTGGTTCATATCTGACTTACATGGTTAAAAAGAAGCAAAGCAAGCAGAAGACTTTAGAGATTTGATGAGAAATTTAAGTATTTGTAAGGAGCTGGGAGGTTACTGAAGTTCTGCCACAAAAGAGTTGTTTACAACGACAAAGCAAATACCACAAAGTGGCACAGTCGATGCTTATGTCAAAGCTTCAAGCTAACGAAGAGAACCACAGAGAGCGACAATTGATCAAACAGGATTTCAGAGACATCCTCAAATGCAGTTATTTATACCCAGGGAATAGGCATATGATGACCTTTAGCCATCAGTTTTCTTGCCCCTTTGTCATATGTACCACACCTCTTTTTTATATATGTGTCCTTAGGGCTGGCATTACATCTAAGCAAAGGACACATGCAAGTCCCTTACGTGCCACTGTCAAGGCAATGTCCGAGTGACAGCTCAGATAACATTTACTTGTCCCCGCCATGCAACAAGTCTCACATGTCTGCACATGAACAAGCCTTAAATTGCTCGTGCACTAACAAATAAAACCCCAGACAATGGGCCAGCCCTTGGCAAACAGATTTCTGCTTGAGTGAGTTTATTCACATCTGTGGGGAAGCCCTCGCAAAGGCCATAAAGTGATAAGAGATATGTGTATAAGGCCGGCTGCTCTCTCTGCAGATTTTCTTTGTACTTTTTTCCGGCGAGCGTAACTGAGGGAGGTGTCATATCTTAAGAGCCTGCGTAAAATGAATAGTACTACGACACTGACAACGCGCCCAATAACGAAATAAAAATGAATCCGGGACCTTATCAGACGCTGTAGCCAGACCGCGCAATGCATACGCGGAAGACACAAAGTTAGCATTTTTTTCTTTTTCTCCCTTTTAACATATATACAGCCACGTCTCATTGATATGGACACCTCCGTTACCCCCAAATATCATTCATGATGCGAGCTCTCCATATTAATGAGACAAAAATGCACGAATTTATCCGGTTTGTCTCGGAACATTTTGTCTATATAGTGGGGTACCCATATTAACAAGGTCTACATTAACGAGTCATGACTGTAGGTAACTGGATACCACCTCCCTGTTTTGTGCACGGTGATTACTCAACATCACATCACAATGAAATGGAGGTTTCCTTATAAAACAGGTGACTCAATATCTGATAAATTGTAAGGTCAGTGCCCCTCCAAATTCTTATCTTGAAGCAATGGGCACATTTAAGGGCCATCAGTTAAAGGGCTTGTTATCAAGCACTGTCCTCCATTTGACACTGGAGAACTAAAGTCCAGGAGTCAATGTTTTTTTATGAAAGCTAGGTTACAACAGCAGCCAAGTTATACCTGGTTGTTACAAACTTTTGCACAAAGTGGAAGAATGTCTGTCGCACAGACTTGGAGACTATGCTGACTGTAGAAGCACAGAAGAGCCAATGAACCTTGCTCCAGAAGTACCTCCAGATTGTCTAAGCTCTGTTCAGTATGCACTTATCTCTGCTAAGTGCCTCTAGCTTCAAAGTGACGAAAGATTCTCTTAAGATATGTAATAGTGCATACTCCTGTGCACAACTGTGCAGGAGCAATTCTGAGCACCTTTGACATTTTATCTTTTATACATAGTAAAAGAAATCGTTCAAGTATGGTAAGCATAAACCATGAGTCCATGACAATGTAAAATACACTTTAAAATGTCAACGAAAAAAACAATATATATATATATATATTTTTTTTGAGACAGCATTAATGTGATGCTAGTTGAGTATCTGCTTGCGTAGTGGTTAGTATAATGTGGATAGTCATAATGCATAGCCTGCTGAGGTTGCAGATATTTTCCATGACTATATGAGCAAATGCTACTCTAAGGGCTACCAATCTTGTTAGCCTGGGAACGATCCTTTATACCAGGCGTGGCCAGGCTGGCCTGGCCTAAGAGCCGCAAACAAAACCACGGAACTTCTAAGAGCTGCGGGGGGGGGGGCAAACTTGACTTTTGTTTAGAGTCTGACTGCACGTATGGGGGCACAAGGCTGTGCGACTGTACGTATGGGAGTACAAGGCTGTCAAACTGCAAGATGCAGTGTGCTTTATTCTGAAATCCTTTTTTTTTTCCGGGGGAAACGCGAAAAGGGGCGAAAGGGGGGGGGGGGGGGGGTGTCCCCTTAGGAGCGATCCGCGAGCCGCACTTGGACCAGCAAAGAGCCGTATGCGGCTCGCGAGCCGCGGTTTGGCCACCCCTGCTTTATACTATCATGACTTGTTGGGTTCTGTGTGAGTTGATGCCAGTGAAATCGCCGAAGTGATAAGAAAACTAAAACCAAAATTTTCGAGTGGTGTGGATGCCATACGGAGTTTTATTATCAAAGGATGCAGTGAACTGTTCATTCCCAATCTGAAACGCATTTTTGAACTTTTACTCACTTCAAGCCCAGTTATGTCGCTTTGTAAAAAAATTGGTGATTGTTCCTATTTTAAAGAGTGGTGACGTCACTATAGTTATAGGGTGGTTTTATTTGAAATTGAACACGGATGTAGGGGTGGGTACTTTGATTTGCTTTAAAAAATTATATATCTTAACCCCATTTCCACAACAAAAAATTAAAAAAAAAAAAACTTTTTTTATTTATTCATTTTTTTTTACAAAACATTTGAGGTAGAGCAAGGTGAAATGCTACATTTAGGGTGCTCAATTTTTGTACTCAGTTCTGTTGGTTATTTTAAATAAGTAAAAATGAAAACACTCACAGTAATTTTTCTCGTATATGTATGACACATAACCTTTTTTTCCATTAAACTAAACTGCTTTGTCATATTTCATGCAAGAAATAAAAAATGCCAAACATTGCATCTTTGACATTTGGTGACATACATGGAACCTTGTATCTTAGAACTCATTACACATTTCGTTTCTTTAATGGTTTACGTCTGTCGGCCTATATAAGTGCTATTGACTGATATCACTTTAGTCTAATTTAATGCCATGAAATAATTTATATAAATTTAGAATTTCATCAAAACGTGAATTTAGCCATAATTTGAGCCCGCATTATTAAATAATATTATTTTTTATTTCTTCCTTATTTTTCTATATTGTTCCCAATGACGTTAACTTTTAGTGCGCAAAATTGAAGTTTCCCCCTTTTTCTTGTAGAAACGCCCAAACATAGGCATACGCAGCCGAATCAGCAAAAGGCTAGTTTCGCAAGTTGGCTTTACTGCAAAGATTTTTAACCTTGAAATGCTAAGGACACGGGGGGTCGGGAAACGTGTTCGGGAGGGGAAGGGGCGATGGAAAGTGGTGGTGGAGACGGGGGAGGGGAGAGATAAGTGTGGTAGTGCTCCCATTAGGAAAAATTGCCTGCCCCTACCCCTCCGCTGTTCTAACGCTATTGGCAACGTATATTTCTTTTCTTTTTTTTATGAGGGAGGGGTGGAGGGACATCTTAAGACACTTGAGTAAGGCTGCATCTTTTTTATCTCAGTTAGTATATATAACATTTCTTTATCTCTCATCTCGTCCGTTTCAACTGAATGCGACTTCTAGTTTGCCCTACTTTCTTTTCAGCGGTGACTGTTAGAATTTTCTGTTATACACCGAGAACCTTTGGGGAGATGTGTTGGTCCACCTCCAGGAATTCCTTCCTTAAAGGACAACTCCGGTCAATATTTTTTTAATTTGGGATTACGAGTAAGGCAGTATCTCTGAATTACAAGGTGTAATTTTTTTCAATATTGTGCATAGTTTTATAGATATCACGGCTCAAAGTTTGGTTTCGGGTGCCTATGGCAAAACCGAAACTATCTACTAGAGGGATGGCAACACTGATCAGCCATATGGCCACAACATGACGTCATGTTGGCACTGCGGTATGCGGTACAACCGATCAACCGCAGCTCCGCTGCGACGTGACGTCACAAGGGTGCTGCGTCAGTGTTCCTTGACTATAAGCTAACCCACTTGCCGGCCGCTAATAACACCTGGTCGCATCTTTAAAATATTATATTTCGGCCGTGACCATATTTGGTGCCACTAAAGCGACACCAGTCAATTTATTTTGGTTTTGTTTTCGACCTGAGTTGCCCTTTTAACGTTGCTGAGCAAATGTCATGCTTGGAAACTACACTTGGGCACAAACTTGAGCTCAACTTACTGGAGGAGTTTTCAGCCAGGCCTGCAATGCGATTCTGGGAAAGCACGTTAGTATGCCTCATCACAGCAGCGCTGTGAGAGGGCAAGGTTGACCACTGTAGATCCACATCGAGGTGCTTTTTCACAAAGCAAAAGTGCTCACTTCGACACATCTCTTTTAATGTTGACCATCGTTCGGCTTAAGCCTGCAGAGGACTGGGAGGTGCAGGGTGCCACTGCATCTCCCAAACACAAAGCATTTTAAGGCTAAAAAAAACTTTGCAATAACGACAGATGGTGAAACTACCCTCTCGTCGATTTGGGTACATGTACCAGTGTTTGGGCATTTCTACAAGAAAATAAAACAGAAAAGGGGGAAACTTTGATTGTTCACACAGAAGGTTCACATCATTGGGAACGACACAAAGAGAAATAAAGAAGAAAAAAAATTCCCTCTGTTTAATAACGGGGGCTCAAATTATGGCTAAATTTAC